CTATGAGTCGGAATCGACTAGATGGCAGTGTTTCCATTAAAGGATGGTGAAAAAGGCTGGCAAGCAAAACATCAGTGTAAGTTGCACAAGGTGAAGGTAATTAATGTTCAGCTGTACATATAAAAATGATCGAAAGGGCTGTTTAATTACATATACTTCACACCACAAAGAAATAGAAATAGACAATGATTCAAACCTTTCCAATGACTTCCATTACATTCAGAACAAAATACAAACTTCCCAGAGCCCTCAGCTCTGACCTGTTGATAACCCAATATGTCTTGCCTCTCTGCCCTCATTCAGCCACCTGCAACCATGACAGCCTTCCTCCTCTTCCTCATCCCCACCCATGCTGCCCCCTCCCAAGATCTCCAGTCACCAGCATCCAGGTCTCAGCCCCAATGTCACCTCCGCCTAGAGGCCTTGCCTCTCTAACCACCTTGATTTTATTCCCAGCAATGCTAAGGATCGGGATTGACCTTGCGTCTTTCATTCACCTTTGGAGAGCAGGTGCTTTATATAGATAGGTGTGTGTGGTAGTTACACAATCTGGTGTCAAGTTGGAACTTGATAGGATTAAGAGTGAAGTGGTAGAGGCTAGTCTGTCAATCGGATCATAGCCAATGAGGCGTGGGCATGGCTTTCTCCTGGGAATTCTGGGAAATCTAGATTTTCCTCCTTGGAAGCAGGAGACACCTCTCACTACCTTCACCCCCGTGGAGCTGCTCTACTGATAAGACACATGGTGCTACACCTTGGGAGCTAGAGAAGCCACATGGACCTACCCTGATGCAGCCTTGAAGCTGAAGAAGCCATGTGGAGACCCCTGCCAGCACTGAGATGCTTACAAAGCCACTGGATCCAAAGATGTTCTACCCACTGACCTGTGATCATCCTGTATTCAGCGTCATTGCATGTGTTTCATGAGTCTAAAGACGACTTTAAAAATTGGTATCGGACATATGGGCTAACATAGGACTTCTGGAGTTGATCTGCACTGAGCTGGGGTGTTTTCTCAATATTCGACAGCTCTTTCCTATACACATATGAGTGTTCATGGATTTGTTTCTCTAATCTACCCAGACTAACACAGTGTGGAATGACTAGGAGTGTGTGCACCTGGGGTTTGGGGGGAGTGGTGATGAGAAAGTTTTCCCTCCACCCCCACCTTTCTTCTCCTACAGTGACCCCACAGCCAGGACTTGCTCCCTTACCAGGGACAGCTGTTCTCGCAGCTGGTCCACCACCTTCTTGTGTGCCCCGGCCAGCGCAATGAAGTAGAACATGATGAGGCTGCAACACAAGGCAGAGAGGTGGACAGTGAATTACCCACCCTGGCTGTCAGGGCAGGAACAACCCTACGCCTTTTCCCTGGAAACATTTCCCTTGGTGAGAAGGGAGAAGGGAGGCCTCCCTTTCCCCAAGCAGAGGGGCCAGAAACAGCCAGTGCCTGTCTCATTTGGTGGCAGCTGCGAGTCTGATTTATGACTCGCTTTTTAACGTGAACGCTACCAGTTGTTGATATCCCTCCCCATGCCAACCACCCTCCACCCTCACCCCACCCCCCGCCCGACCCCAGCACCTGCAGAGAGGAGGAGGGAGTCCAGGAAGTGGGGCTGGCATGTGATGAACTGTCTGTGATCACACTACAGATGTGATCATCTGCAGAAGATGATCAAGGACCGCCACTGGCCTCTTTTCTCAGATGTAAAGTGGGGTGAATGCTGTAAAACCCAGCAGTCACCCGGCTCCGTATCCACATGGCAACACTGGATAAAAGCAACTGGTCTTGGCTCCTGCTGTCTGTCCAGCCCCAGGTCTCAAGTGGGGGGTAGTTGACATTACTGGGGAGATTCAGCGGGAGGAGCAAGCCTTCCCCCAGGATAACGGAAGGGGACATAGCTTCCTGTGAACTCAGGTCGTCCTTGTCTCCCAGATGGGGCCGATGAAATGACGGCTTAGCGACTGGGAGATTCCAGGAGTTACCAATCTCTGGAAGACCAAGAGCCACAGGACGAGGATCCTCAAAGACACAGAAGCCATCACATAACCACCACCAGGTGGTGCTCTAGCCAAACCCAGCTGGGCCAGCTGATTGGGACGGATCAGGGGGCGCTCTGGGCCCTGGGAATTCCAGGCTGGCCACAGGTTCCTAAGTCGTGTTAGCAATTTCACCCCAGAGCGTCCTGCGTTTCACACTTACCTTTTTGCTGTTGTCCCATTCTGGCATTATGGTGAGAGTTTCCTGTCATCATTCTACATCATCTTAGCTTAATGGCGAGGGTTTCATGAGTTAACAACACCTTTCAGGGATTTACATACAATACCTGGCACATAGTAAGTACTCCACCCACCCATGTCCGTGATTAGTAGTATTATAACAGACACCCAGGTGGCCCACACATGATGCACTCCACTGGTAGCTGGTGGTTTGAACCCGTTTGGAAGTGCCTCCATAGACAGGCCTGGCAACCTGCTCCTGAAAGGAAAGCCATACGGCCTTGAAAACCCAGCGGAGCGGCTCCCCCTGCACACACGGGGTGGTCAAAGTCAGGACGGACTCGATGGGAAATTGACCACAGCAACAATGTTGGGATCCTGCCGTCCCTGTGCGCAGCCAAGACCCTGGTACCCTTCATACAACAAAAGCCATTATGTCCTGAGCCAGCACTGTTCATCCATCACCTTCTCTCCCCCACAACCTTAGGGGGTCAGCCCCGGGCTTCTCCTCATCTCCAGGGGTGGGGGTGGGGTGGGGGTGCATGGCAGCAGAGAGACCATGTGATGCCCAAGCCCACCGTGCTTCTACGTGGCAGGATTCAAGCCTGCGCTTCTGACGTCCGGCTAGCTCCCTGGGCTTTCATCAGTCCCTTTTACAAAAGACAAGAGATTCCGTGCCCGTCAGCAGTGTTGCTCCTCAAGCAAACAACAGCAGGAAGAAGCACCCCAGGTGCCTGAGCTGATTGCCACTCTCGGGGACCCCGGGCGGGTGGGTGAGAGTGGGGTTTACAACAATTGTCGGAATCCGATCACCTTTCTTCCGAGGCATCTCTGGGTGGCTAGAGCCCCACCTGGTGGTGATTATTTGATGGCTTCTATATCTTTGAGGATCCTTCCAGAACAGTATCGCAGAGATTGGGAACTCCTGGCATCTCCCAGTTGCTGGGCCCTCACCCTTTGGTTATCAGCCAAGTACGTTCACCAGTGGACCGGGTATTGACTTCTTGTAAGCCAGCCACTTGGGGGCTAAGTGCCGTCCACAGGCGACCTTATTGGACCTGTGTGATCAGAGAGCTACCAGTATGCTGGCCACTGTAGAGATGGGAATTGGGGTGGGGAGGGGGCGAGTGGTTCCCCGCTTCCCAGTGCAGAGGAACCGGTGGTCCTGACTCACCAGATGATCATGAAGAAAGGCACTGCGAAGGCCTCCGACGTGATGCCGTTGACCAGCGACTGCAGGGACCTGGGGAAGGTGCTCACCGTCTGGGCGACGACCTCCCAGGAGGTGTTGAAGTTGGTGAAGGGCCCGCAGGCTTTGGAGGAAGGGATGCTGGGAGGATACAAAGCAAGAGGCTCAGGGCAGGCGGGTGGCAGAGCCTCCCTCCTCCGTACACACAACACACTTTGCTGGTTGAGGCCTAGAGAAACCGCCTGAGCCAGCGGCCTCCCAGCATGTTCTGGCCCCCAAAAAGCCCACCCTGGATTTCATCAGCCCTCAAGAACCACCTTCCGCCAGGCAGGGAACTCGGGATGGAAGAATACATTAGATGATGCTGTAAGGAAAGATTCGGGCAAATTCCAAATGTGACGATTCTATTCTCCAATCGCTTAATCCAGAGAGGGGAAACTGGCCTGGATGCCTCCAAAACAGAGCAGGATGAAAACAGCAGAAGGAGGTATGGCCATCAGTAGCAAAGCAATGGCGAATCTTACAGGATCTTCATTTAAAAAAAAAAAGCTATAAGAGACTATTTAGGGCACTAGGGGAGCGATCAGAAGAGGGTCGGATATTAGGAGACATTAGTATTAATTATTGGGGAATGATTGTCTTATTGGGGACATATTTAAGGAGACTGTCCCTATGTTTAGGGCTTGGGTGTTCAAGCACTTAGGGATAGGATGCCATGGGACCTGAGACAGGATTTCAGATGGTTCCTCTCACACAAAACAGACTACACAGGGAGCCAAGGCACACGTGGCCATGGGAGTCATTGACTGGGACACCCTACTGAGGCCATGGGAGGGTTGATTGCTGCTATTTTTCAACTTCCCAATGGGTTTGACACTTTCCCAAACTAGAAGACGATCGTGGAAAAGCAAGAACATTCAGGCCTAAAAGGAACTGGCTCAATTCACAGTGTGAAGATGTATGTGTAAGATTTCCCATTGCAGTCGTTTGTACAGGGATAAAAAAGAAATCCCTAGAAGCAATCCATCCCTAGGATCAACCAATTAAGGAAATGAATCATTTTATGTTGTATTCATACAATGGCATGACATAGTGTCTCAAAGAGACAGACAGACAGCTACACCAAGATGACGACATCAGAAGCTGAGAAACAGGATTCGAAAAAGAATCCTCACCAGACATCCTTTGATACCTTTTGAATTTTGTGCCAGGAGAATGTATTTCTTTCTTTCTTTTTCTAATTTAAAGTTAACAGATTGAAATATGTATGTGTGGAAAAGGTACTAAGCACACGATTAAGCAAAGAACCAAGTTGCCAAGCAGGATGGCAGTGCTTCCCCAGATGCGTTTCCAGGCCATAGAAAAGCTTTCCATGATGAGCTTCTGGGAGCTTTTAGAAGGGGATGTGATCCCTAAGAGGTGAGGATCAGGGGCAATTCCCTCTTCAGCGTACATATCCTCTACCACTTGAATTTTAAAATATAGTGCCGATTACTAAAATAATAAAAACCACACAGAATCATATTAGTTAAAAATAAAATCCAAAGTAAAACTTCAAAGCTTTAAGCTTTACTTTAAACAGGAGGAAATGGAATCCCACGAGTGTATAAGTCAGGAGCTGGTAACTTATGGGCCAAATCTGGCCCTTTGTTTTATAAATAACGTTTTATTGGAAAATACCCATGCCTACTTGTTCACATATCATCTATCCTTGGAATTTGAGCTCTCAACTTCCAATCCTTGGTCTACAGTGTCTTTATTCTGGTTATGCAGTGGTCAGACAATTGTTAAGGGTTGAACCTGATCCTCAAAATGAAATGTACCCCAACCCAAAGCTACACCTTTGCCTCCAAACTTCCTTGGGTGTTCAGAATCTTCTCTTTAGATATCTGTGGTTGGAGGAGGGAGAAATCCACACACATGTTCTAACTCATTCCTGGCCCCTAGTTGTTGGCGCAAGCTCTTGTTAGGTACACATACCTCTTGTTGTTCCCACCTGATCTCAACTGCACATGGTTCAGCAGTGCCCTTTCTGTTCATTCTAAACACCACTCTAGAGTCTAGACCCCAAATTCCATGTTCTGTATCTTGACCATCTTTATACCCTAACACCAGCCCAGGACTTGGCCAACCAAAGACTCGCTGCCATCATCTCCATTCCAACTTAGAGGATGGAGCTGAACTTCCTCATAAGGTTTCCGGGGCTGAAGTCTGGAGGGAAGCTATCTCTCATCCCTTTCCTGGGGAGTTCACTCTGAAACTCTCTGTTACTGGCTGAGTGCTTAACTGCTGTGCCACCAGGGCCCAAAGAAGGCTCTTAATAATAAGTTGATGGATACGAGAGTCTCTCAACCAAATGGGCAGCAATTTGGTGACTTTCTGCTTGAGCCTACACGCCATATCCCCTATAAAAGCCATGTATTATTTTGATCATCAAGAGCAAAGAAATAAAAGGAGGTTCGAGAACAAGCCCTAGGAAAAAGGCCTAGGGGATGGGGGCGGGGGCACACCCAGCTCACAACAAATGATGGCAGCACTATACCTGTGGCCAAGGTCCAGAAGGACCCCGTGGCATCTTGAGTTCAATGGAGCTTCTGAAACACAGGTGTGCCTGGATATGGTCTTACCTCGGTAGGTGGAACCACGTGAGCAAAACCAATCAAAATGCTTAAACAAGGGCATGTCAAGAAGCAAAGATGTGTTCTAGAAAACAGAGTTTGCTTACCGTGACAGGCTGATGGTCAGAGGTATGATGGCCAAGCACAGCCCAATCAACAGCACCAACAGGAAGAAGAAATTAGAATTGGACGCTCGGAACTGCCTCGGCGAGGGTCTACAGTTGTAGACAAGGCTCAGCTAGGGGAGACAAAGAAGAGATCAAGAGGCACAGGAGAGTATCACGGATGGGAACAGAAATTAGCATCACCTTTCTAGAGGGCAAGGACTGCCGGTGGCACTAGTGGGTAGGTGTTGGACTACTAACCATCCAAGGTCGGTGGCTCGCATCCGCCCACCAACTGCTGTTTGGGAGAAGGTTAACGCTATCTGCTCCCATAAAGGTTTACAGCCTCAGGAATCCTATATGGGGTCTCTGTGAGTCAGACGCAACTCGATGGCAACATGTTTGGGGTTTGGGTTCTGGAGGGTAGTCCCGTAATAGAGATCGGAATGAAAAAAGTCTAGTCTAGTCTAGACACCCACTTAGAGGAATTCCTCCTGAGGAAATGATAGGAAAACTGGGTCAAAATGTATGTACACAGATACTCAGTCTTGTAATTGTTGATCACAGAATACTTAGAAGCAATCCACAGGGTGATTGCCAGCTATCAGTAAGGTGCTGATTAAAGATAAATGCACATCGTCTACACAATGTGATAAGCCTTTAGAAAGGATGAGAGTTGGATGTACTCAAGTGGCATGATGAAATAAAAATTTTATAACTGTGGTATGAATCCATTTCAGTTTTTTAAAAAATAGTGTTTATTTTTATAGTGGTTTAAATATGTATATGTAATCGATCTGCAATAAAAAACAAAACTCAAACGCACTACCATCAAGACCACTCTACCATCCAACTCCTGGTGACCCTGAGCACCCATTGAATGACAGATGGGAACACCTTTCAGAGGGACCCTAGAGGACAGGAGAGAACGGCCCCTGTGCGTTTCCGAGACTAACCCTTTACGGGAGTAGAAAGCCCCATCTTCCTCCCAAAGAGCGGCTGGTGGTTTTGAACTACCTATCTCGATGTTAGAAGCCCAATGCTTATGGAAATCACAAGAGCCTAATGATTCTCAATAGAACTTTCAAAATTATAAAAATTCCCAAACCCATTCAAAGTCATTTGTCCAGAATAAAGAATATATCCTGTGTAAAAAGGGACAGTGTCGTACAAGGAGGAGCTCTGTTGGCACAGTGGTGAAGTGCTCTCGTGCTAGAAGAAAGGTCGGTGGTTCGAACTCACCGGCCACTCCTCGGGAGAAGGCTGGGGCAGTCTGCTTCCATAAAGATCACAGCCTTGGAAATCCCATGGGGCACTTCTCTGTCCCGCAGGGTCTTTATGAGTTATAATGGACCCCACAGCAGTGGGTTGGGTTGGGTTGTGGATGTAAATTGGATACATCTGATGGCATGGGGAGTTGGCCCCAAAGGTATGAACACCCAATCCATTGGAAGGTCTAGAATTGGGAGGGGATCGTTCCCCCACCTCTCCACTTACCTCTTTCACATAAAAGATGATGATGAATTTGATGGTTGTAATTGCAGGGATAAGTGGTGAGAAAAAGGCTCCGATCCAGCAAATGGTCTGCCCATACACGATCCCCAGGACGTTACCAGGAATGGCAAACTCCTGCTGTCCCCAGAACTGAATCACCTTCCAGGAGGAGCAGTAGGTCACCAGGAGCCTGCAGACAAAGAAGGCAGACTGCTCACCTGGACTGCAGGGACCTTCCAGTGCCCTAGACCACGGCCACAGACCCAGGGCCAGTTCCTCCAAGATTCTTCAGGGAAACTGTCTGTGTGTGTGTCTTAAAGACACAGTCTTAAAGAAGACAGTGGACTCTGGAACCATCCAGGCCAGCGTTCGAATCTCGATTTCGCAATGTCTTAACTTGATAGATCCTCTTTGAGCCTCATTTTTCCCATCTGAAATTGTGGGTGGATTGTAATGCAGCGCGCTTCAAAGGGTAAGCGTGGGACTAGGAACGTGGGCAGAATCCGAACTTCGGCTCGCCTCTTTAGCACAGAAAGTGGCCTGCAAACACCCAAATGTCCACCAGCAGGGGCCCTGCATATGTACGGCGGCGGCGTAGGACACCATCGTTGGATGAATGAGGAAAGTTGTGGTGGTGTGTTGTTTGCAGGAGATGAAACAGAAAGGTGAGGGCACACCATGGTGCATGGATGTGATCCGGTCCCTGGGGCAAAGCCTCCCCCAACCAACTCTGGGCATCTGCTCACCCGTGGATTTATGGAAGTGCGTGTATGGTTTTCTGTATCTTTTTCAAAGATAGCTAGATTTACCCCTACGGCGTCAACACTGGCTTCCTCTTCAGAGGCCGCTCTTTTGCGACCACCTGTGCTTCCATGGCATCTACATCTTTTAGATTTTGAATCAAGCTCATATGCATGGATCAGGGTTTTGTTTTACTTTTTAAAATCAGTCCTCCTTTTTCATGCTTATTTTAAGGGCTTACTGGGCCTCCTGCAACACCCATTGCCCTGTGGTGGATTCTGACTCTCAGCAACCCGGGTAATCTGCTTGAGGGGGTGAAAGGGAGAAAGTGAAGCGAGTTGTGTGTAAGATTTCAGGAGCCACTGAGAAGCAGCAGCAGGAGGCCTATAGTGAAGACGTTACAAACTTTTTTGGGTAAACTAGGTGAGAGTTTATAGAACAGAGTAGTTTACCATCCAGACATGTTCTTTCATGCCACTGACTGCAGCCTCCAAAGGTCACAGCACGGATCCCGCTCCCTCTCTGGGCTTCCCGCTCCCATCCTTCCTTCTTGCCTAACCCTCCTGAACTCTGCCTGTGGGGAAGGCTGCCCTTTTGATGTGCAATAGCTGGTTATTCCAAGGTGTGCATGTCTCACGGGCCTGATGGTGGCTCTCCTAGACCTGACTCTCGTCTGGCTGAAAACCACGGGGGGTGAGTTCACCGACATCTCGCTCAGCGCTTTTTTATGGTTGCCAGGAGTCAGAATTGGTGCAATGGCCACAAGTATGTGCCACGGGGCGCTGGGGACCCAGCGGCTCCATTCTCGCCTCCGGTGCAGATGACGGAGACCTGTGCTTGGTTCCTGGCCCATGCGCTTCGTGCCCGGCCAACCACGGGACTCTTCATGGAGGTTTGCGGGTTGCTAGGAGGGGAACATACTCCAGCAGAGCTGCCCAATGGGAAGAAAGGTCCGCAAAGTCTAATGCTTCTGACAACCAGGCAATGAAAACTCTCTGGACCCCAACAGCCTGCAGCTGCAACCAGGCATGGCTGTGCTGGGGGGCTGACTCCACCACTAATATGTGCCAGCTGCTGGTCTCGGTGCTTTCGGATTTCATTTAATCCTCACAGTCTCAGCCATTGATTCTGAGTTAGCTACTGCTGTTCCCACCGCATTTTGTGGGGGAGCAAAGAGGCACAGAGCTTAAACAACGGAGCCAAGGTCACATGGCCAGCAAGCAGTAGTGCTGGGGCTTTGACCTGGCCAGGACACGTGGCGTCCCCTGTAGCAAACTATAGGTCTATGCCGACGGGCCTGGCTATTTGTGGGAAGCCGTGCAGTTTCTGCTCAGCAGGCTGCCTTTTCGGAGGGGCAGTTAAGGAGAGATGAGGTTGATGGTCTGGGGCTATTGGGGGTCGCCAGCGGAGAGTGGCTGCAGGGGGTAAGCGGAACACTCCTTTTACTCCACTTACTTTCTAGGAAAATCCACAAAAAGTGTCATCGCCAAGATGATGATGAAGTCGAAGATCATTAGTTTGTACATTTCCTGCCCAACTTGGGTCTCCCAGCACTGAAAGAAAGAGAACAGGAGAAACTGAGAAGCCCGATTTGGGGCAGAGAAAGCCGGGTGCTGGGACTCCTCCCCAGTTCCGTCTGTGCCATCTCCAGACCCAGCTGCTTCTGGTCAGGACATTGGCAGATGCTCCTCTGAGCTTGGTTTTACAAGCCCCTACACGTGGAGATGCTGGGCTTTACGTCCACGACCCAGCCCTCCACAACCACCCGTCCCCATAGCCTTACTGGGTAGAGATTCTGGTTGTAACCGCAGAGACTACAAAAAGAGTTGTCACAGGAAGTGATCTTGGAGCCCAGGGTGAACACCAGCACGCAGATGGTGGCCAATCGCATGAAGACACACCTTCAGGGAGACAAGGGAGGGGAGAGACAGGGGGAAGCTCTCAGGCAGGCCCTCCAGAGACACAGCCCTTCCTGAATGCAAACTCATACCCCCTGGTCATTTATTCCGTCACTCAGCATAGGCCCCTGGATGCTGTGTGCCTCTGGCTGGGATCAAGTGGAGGGACACGGGATCACCCATGAGGTTTCCAAAACTAAAGGCCTGAAGTGGGATCTAACAGAAATTTCAAAGCTTCCCAGTAGCTTCCTGGGTACATGGGGAACAGGAAAATAAACACATCATAAAGAAGCAATGAATTCATTCCGCAATAGGGGACAAATGACCCAGTGTTTTCCACAAATTAAGGGCATATCTAAAAGGAGGAATTCTTAAAGAATAAAAGGAGCTTTAGCGATATCGCTGTAACCCCCACCCCCACCCGCAAGGCAGCATGTGCACTTGGCTTGCCTCCTGATTGGAACAAACCAGAGGAAGCCATTTGCAATTCCATCAGGGCAACGGACAGCGAATGTTATTAAGGGTGAAGATGGTGGCGCTAAAAGTAGAAACTTCATCTTTTAGAGATACACTAGGGGGTGGGGCTTCAAAAAGTTGGTGGAGGAAATTCTATTCCCTTCGAATTCCCTTTTCCCATTAACTTTGGGAAGGCCCCTCGCATGCATTCCCCGTGTTGGCAGCGCGATGACATGTTGCCAGCAGTTGGCTTCAAATCAGGCCAGCAGAAGAGGGGAGAAGGGTGGCAGCACAGTCAACACAATGCTGGTTCTGGGCAGAACGAAGTGATGGGCTCATGGGGATTCATTAACCATCCTCCCCGCCTGTCTGATTGCTGGACAATTTCCAAAGGAAATGGGTTAAATAAGTCAGAGGTGAAGAAGCAGGAGGACAACTCCCCGGTGCCACACAGTCCCCATGCAGTTGTGTTCTCTGCCTGACCCTGCAGTCACACCGGCCGTGGCTGGCGTCTTGAAGGTAGCCCACCTCCCGGCCCCAGCCTGTGACTCCAGTTGTCATGTGGGACCTGTGTGTGCAAATTCCGACTCATTCATTGGGGTCCAGGAGGATCCTTGGCTCATCAGGACAACGTGCCACCATGCCTGCCGGGGTCAAGAGCTCGAGTAAGCAGTGGGCTGTGCCATGGGGCGGTCACCCTTAAGTCAGGCATTACCTCAGGATTGTCAAACGGATTTCAAAGCTTGGGGAGTAATCCTCGTAGCGGATGATCACGGCAAAGATCATTGGCGTGAGAAAATTGGCCAGCGTGATCACAATCGATGGTAGGTACAGTATCAGGAGGTTCTCCCCAAAAACCATCTTGTCAATCTCCTAGGAAGGTCACAACATGCCTTGGTCAGAAACGCAATAAGCGAAGCTGCATCCCAAATGAATTGAACGTAGCAGCACTCAACTGCTACACAACAGAGCCAAACACAGCTAGGAACTCAACTCAAACAATGGTTGATGTCAAGAAATAAATGTGAGCCACGTCCCCAAAGCCTAACATGGCAAATATAACTGATGCTATGGAATCGTACACTTAAAAATGACTTATCGTGCTGCCTTTAAACCTGCCGCACCTGCCTGTGGCATGGGGGGTTAAGCTGCAGCGTCAGAGCAAGTGCTGATGCATAACTGGGGCTGCCAAGCCCTTTTAACCGTGAGTGACATGGCGACCCAAAAAAAAAAATACTTAAATGGCAAAATTTTGTTCTATTTTAATACAGTAAAAAATCCGTAAGCCCCTTTCTTGGATGCTCTAATACCATGCTGAAAGAAAAAAATAGAATTTTATTGCATTTTTGAATGATTGCAGTCTGTTGGCAAAGAATAGTGTAAGTACCCTGGGCTGCCAAAAGAGCAAATCTGTCTTGGAAGACGCGTGGCCAGAGTGCCCTTTAGAGGCACGGACGCAAAATTTGCTCTTACATTCTTTGCACATGTTGTCAGGAGATGCCAGTCGGTGGAGAGAGACACCCAGCTTGGTAAAGTAGAGGGCAGCAAAGCAGAGGAAGGTCCTCAAGGAGACGGATTGACCCAGGGGCTGTAACCATGGGCCCAAACCCAGGAACAACCGGGAGGTTGGCACGGGGCCAGGCAGTGCTTCATTTTGCTGTCTACAGGATCGCTGTGGGTCGGAATCAACTCGATGGCACTACCACCACCACCAACATTAGAATTACGAAGGGCACCTATGAACATTCCGTGTATTCTGTATCAATGGGCAATTGATAAAATGCTTTCAAGGCCCAGCGATCTGCTTCTTCGGGGGCACAGCTACGATAACCCTCTGGCGGGCAGGTCTGCTCTTGCCCCCTATGGGGCAGGGTGACCATGAGCTGGAATGGATTTGACACCAACTGCTGTGATTGATTCCATTATAGAGACCCGGTGGCCCAATGGTGAAGGATCTGGCTGCTAACCGACAGGTTCTGGTTCAAGTCTACCCAGCAGCTTCACAGGAGAAAGACGTGGCCTTGAGCTCCCATTAAGATCACAGCCTAGAAAATGCCGTGGGGCCCTTCCACTCTCACCCGGGGTCACTATAAGTTGACACGCATTCAGAATGCTAACAGTGGTCATCTTATGGATTCCAGGAGGAGCAGGCATCTCACATCTGTTTGGGAGATTTTCAAACTTTTTGGAAAAGTGGAAATGTACCACCTCTGATTTTGAGGTCTCTCTCCTATGGACCACCCTTGTATCCCCCTACACAGGACAGAAACAATGACAGCTTTGCAATGTCTAACCAGAGGCACAGTTCACTTTCACGGAGGACTTACTTTGTTCATGTGTTCTTGAGAATATGTCGTTGCTCTATAGATTCCATAGAAGCAAGCCCCTAAAACAGCCAGAACCAGGCAGTTCAACACCAGTCGCAAAGAGTAAATCCGTATGGTTTCTTCAGAGGTCCTTTCCGCTATCTTCTGGCGTATTCTCTCCTCCTCCAGGTCGGCCTGCGGACCAGAGGAAACTGCCTCTGAGCACTGGGATGGAGGGAACGCATGGGAGGAAGCCGTGGCTCATCAGATCCCCCCTCATGCAGCTAAGATTTTCCTTAAATATTCACCTTCCCCAAGATGTCTTTCCAGGCCAAGCCCAGCTCGTCCTCCTGGCCACGAAAGGCTCAAGCCAAGGCAGAGCCACCTCCTTCAGACTGCAATCTGGGAAGGGGTGTGAACTATAGACTATGCATGGCATGTTAACATGTAGTAGTTGAACAGCATATGCCTCAAACGCAACCCCACCGCTGTGGAATCCGTTCTGACCATACATCTTTATGGGAGTGGTCAGTTCTGACCATGCATCTTTATGGGAGTGGTCAGTTCTGACCATGCATCGTTATGGGAGTGGACAGCCTCCTCTTTCTCCCTTGGAGAGGCTGCGGGGGTTTGAGCTGCTGACACTGCAGTTAGCAGCCTGGTGGGACAACACAGTACCGTACGTGGCTGGTTTTTTGTTTATTTTTCTAACCCAATCTGGTGGTCTCTGTGTTTTATAGCGTTTTACAGCGTTTACTGTAACCAATAAGATATTTGCTCTGATTCTTTCTATCTCCATTTAGGTTTTGATGGTGGACTTACGGTCCTCTCCCAATTTGTGTGTGTGAGTTCGACCAAATAATAAAGTATTTACAATTCTTATTATTCATTTGACCATTCCACCATTTTTTTCATATTCTGTCCACTCCACGCAATCGCCACAGCATGCCTTCCTCGGTCCTATTTCTCTTGGTCCCAGCCATGCTGAGGACAGGTTCTTCTCAGGTGGTAAAACAACCGTGTACAGTGGAAGACACCACCCCCTTCCACCCACTATGGGGCTCCCCCACCTCTCTTGGAAGTCGCATCCACTTCCCAGGTGTATTATCATGCTCCAGCCGATGGTGATCCACCCCAGGAAGCTGCTCTCTACAAAACAGACTAGATCTGATCCGTAGGGTTTTCTTGGCAGGACTCGTCTTTTTTTTTTTAAACATTTTATTAGGGGCTCATACAACTGTTATCGCAATCCATACACACATCAATTGTGTAAAGCGCATTTGTACATCATTCTCAAAACATTTTCTCTCCACTTAAACTCCCGACATTAGGTCCTCATTTTTCCCCTCCCTCCTCGCTCCCCCCTCCCTCATGAGCCCTTGATAGTTTATAAATTGTTATTTGGTCATATCTTGCCCTGTCCGACGTCTCCCTTCACCCACTTTTCGGTTGTCTGTCCCCCAGGGAGGAGGTCACATATAGTTCCTTGTAATCGGTTCCCTCTTTCCTACCCACTCTCCCTTTACCCTCCCTGTTTCGCCACTCACTCCACTGGGGCAGGACTCTTCATGGAAGCAGATCAGGGGCCCATCTTTGGGAGGTGCTGCACACTGGGTGGGTTTTAGTTAGCAGCTAACTTCTCTTGAAAACTACATGAGTGGACACTTGCGAAGGCCAGGGAGATCCAGGCCTCCACATAGCTCCTCTGTAAGCTACAAACAGGCCTGCTGGGCACAACGCTATGGGGCAAGGAACCGGAGCCGGGGAAGGGAACCGGCCGCAGCACTCACTCGGAGCTCGTACCGCAAGCTGCTGTGTTTCAGGTCCGCCATGCTGCGGTTGGTGATGCAGAAGTCCCAGCCGGCAAAGATCTTGTTGCAGTAACTCTGGAAGTAATCCTCGCTCCGAATCAGGTTGACTTTGAATCCTTCCACAGACCTGACCCCAAAACACAAGCACACTTCCGATAAGAACAACAGCGAGAGAGTGGCCTAGAAACTGGCTGGGCCTAAGCTGAAAAAAAAAAATGTTAGACAAGGGTACATTTTCTGTCCAGTCCAACACGCTCACGCTTCGACCCATCCTAAATACATGTGGCTGCTCACCGGGAATCTCACGAATTCCTTATCCATCCAACAGAGCCTAACACCAGTGGCTCAAACTCCCGACTCTTTAGCCTGGAGGCCCTGTCTGCCGCGGCTCAGCCAGCTGTGCTCCCAGGGGCCACTGGCTTTGTTTCCTTCCCAGAAATACACTAAACTCTGCTTTTGCCTCAAGGATTTATGAAACCTTGACTGGGTCCTCTCCACCCTTCCGGCTTCAACTGAAGCAGCGGGCATCACGTAGGACGATCCTGGCTGTAAGGAGTGGCAGGTATGCAAAATGGACTTAAAAAAAAAATTTCCCCCCTGCAGTCTAGTCATTCGGGAACCAAGGAGGGCGAGATGAACCCCTGAAACCACTACACCTTCTGTCAATCTTACAACTCAACGTGAGACCAGAAGTCACTCCAGACCAACCCCGTTGTTGAGATGATTCCTGCTCAGCTCAGCTAGGACAGACTTGCCTTGAGCAGAATTATGCTCTTGTAAGCTCTAGCCCAGTGCAACCAAATCGATCTAACCTTGGAAGTTTAGAGAGAAACCGCCAGAGAAGGGAGTTTACACCAATGAGGCAGGAGCCACTCAGAAAGGGCCTCTGAGGATGGTGTCCCACCTGGAAGAACGCGGTCAGTGTGCCTGAATTGGACAGCAGACACTGTGGAAGGGGTGTCTAGTTTGCGGTGTATATTCTCAACAACAACCATAAAATAATTATCAATGTCGGATAGCCCCTCCATGGGCTGGGTTCCCAACAACTGAAAGTTGGATCCCCCGCTTTTTAATTCCCCTCACAGCTGTGAGTCAAGTTTGCAATCATCTTATTTATCATGAATTCCTGGTGGCAGGTGCCCTGGCTCTCCTGCCACCATGGTATCTGGAATGCCTAGAACATGGCCAACGTGTGGTTAGTGGCTAATAAATGAATAAATGACTGAAATCTAACATATACTGAGTGAGCACCTGTTTATGCAGAGTAACTGTTGTACATTTCAGGTTTTCAACGTATCCAAATGCTTTCATGGGGAAAAAAAAGTAAACAAAAGCACCCTAGTGCATGCTAATATAAAAACACCAAGCACCACACACGGATCTCTGCAGATGGAAGCAGTATTTTTAGGACTCATTAATTGTTGTGAATTAAATGGTGTGCCCCCCCCCCTTATATGTGCTGTAATCCTGCACCTCTGAAGACAATCCTGTTTGGAAATGGTTCTTGGCCATATTACTTCGATCTGACTCACGTATGACAAGCTCATAACCCAATCCCTTCTGAGTTAAAAGACACGCAGGCTAGACACAGGCCAGTCTGTTCAGACAGGCCCCACCCGAGGGGTAACGACGAGAATGATGTCCTTGTCAGGCGACGCACCTGGAGGAATGGCATCGTGAAGACCTGCTTTGGATTTTAAACATCCAGAACTTTCAGCAAACGGATTTCTGTTTTGTCAAGTAACCCCCCATGTGGTCTTTCTGTTAGAGCAGCAGCAGGTAACTGAGACAGCCCTGACCCACGAGGACAGCGGGAGTGGGAGGAATCACTGTGATCAGTGATGTGGGCCAAAGGATCAAGGCCAAGGATTTTCCATCAGAACCACATGGGGAGCTTTTCAATAATCTATTTATTTTGGGGGAAAAAAATTAATGTAGAATTTTCTTGCAGACAAGTGGATGGGCACGGTATTCCTGGGTTCCTGGCTATGCAAACACGAGAAAGGCTGCCATCCGATGCAAATAGGGCTTTGCAAACGGGTTCTGTTGTCTAGCTGTATTTAAAGACCTGTTTGAAATTACTTGCTGAATTGAGAAGCACCCCTCAAGAAACTATTAGAGAAGATCGTGTTATTAATCACTAGAATTTAATAAAGGCCAAGAAACACAGTAGCCAACACAAGCATTACAATGACATTCCCTCGGAGGGAGGAAGCACAAAAAACACAATCTTGGGTGGTACGGCTGACCTCAAGCAATGAGTCTCACTGGTGGATCCTAAGGACTATGAAGAAGGCCGACTCCTTCCAGGCAACGCCCCCTTGGGATCAAGGTCCTGGTTTAGTTAAAAGACAAACGTCTCTTGGAAGTCATTTACATGGTGCTATGAAAGAGTGGCTGGTTGTTTCTTTCCTGGGAGCTATAGAGCATGAGGGCACTGTAAGCTGCCTGGTAGGGGCATAGCAGGTTGGTGAGCTGCTAAGAAGGGGGAAGAAGCTGAGGCCGAGGTGCTGAAAAGAAACTTTGTTACTTAGGAAGGCACTACACTTCAGAGCAACCATCCAGGAGTGTTTCTGAGCAGCCTGCATCCCTGCTGCTGCTGCTGACCTTGGCCGTGCAGCTATGGGGAGGGGGAGAGTTTGAAGACACTGCAAACAGAGCGACATCTCTTCAGCCACAAACTACCCTCACACAATGGTTCTTCCAGCTTCCCGGCAGCTCAAAAGTGAGCGAAGGGAGACAGAAGCCTGCTGTTTCTTCCCACAGTCCCTCCTCTTGTCCTCATCCACGTCCTTCTTTGCAGGGTCTCTCTGGATTTTGCTGGTTTGTTTTCTGTGTCTACTTCCTCAGTCTTGTCTTAGCTCCCAGAGAGCAGGGAATGGGTTGTATCCACCTTGGTCTCCTCGACCTCACACCGGGGTCCCCCTGCACCTGACCCTTCTGCTGAGAAGCCTCACCAAAACGCATTAGTTTCTAAGCCTCAGTCAGCACAGAGAGCCCCCTCCAAGGCTTGAGGTATGTCTTGTTCACCTGGGTCCCCTGAAGGTGGCATCCCTTAGTGTGTGTTAAACGACAGAACACTGTTCTTAGTTGTCGATGAGAATAGGCCTTCTCACCCCAGCCCCTGACGGCCAAAAAACAAGGCAGTAAAGGAAGGTTGGAATGGTGCTCTGACAAACTGGGAGTTCCCATCCCCCTGAAGGTGACCATGTATAAACGTCAGCCTCCGTGCCCTGCTCCCTGGAGCCAGATAACTTCTCGAGTCAGGGCCCTGGCTTGTGGTGAACCCACACAACGGAGGGTGTAAGGGGAGGAAGTGAATCCAGCCTGGGCTCCCCTGGCCATCAGACAGAACAGAACACACAGGGTTCGCCCTGGGAGCTGGAGAGCTGACGGCCAGGTGGGCAGGTAGACGAGTCATGTTTCTGGGAGATCCTGTCAGGAAGCCCTGTAGCTCCTGAGCTCACTTGCAGTGTGTCCCTGTCTCGTATCACTGGGGTGCTTTTAAAAAGTGTGGATTCCATGTGGAGGCCTTGAGGTTATCAGGTGACTCATTAAGTAGGTCTTACTTGGAGTCCAGAAGTAGGCTCTCGGATAAAGCTCTGCAAGTCATTCCAAATCATCATCCAGTTGAAAGTCTCTAATGTAGAGCAAACTACCTTTCAGAAATGAGACAGTTAGGATCCAGAGAGGGGACAATTCTAGATCCCGCACCGCGCCGAGGCTCCTTTGACGGTGAGGGCGATGCTGCCTCCAAAGCTGATCTTTCATTGAAAACACATCTTCAGCCTGCAGCCATACCACCCTGAACGTGCCTGGTCCCGTCTGAATAGATGTCTACAACATTCTTTCCCTGCCTGGTTTCAGTTAATCCGTCCCCCCACCAGCCTTGTCAGGGATGTATATTTCTTTTTTTTAAATCCTTTTATTGGGGGCTCTTACAGCTCGTATCACCATCCATCCATCCATCCATTGGGTCAAGCACATTTGTATATATGTTGCCTTCATCATTCTCAAAACATTTGCTCTCCACTTAAGCCCCTGGCATCAGCTCCTCATTTTTCCCCCTCCCTCCCCAAACCTCCCTTGCTCATAAACCCTTGATAAATTATTATTATTTTCATATCCTACATTGTCCACTGTCTCCCTTCAACCACTTTTCATTTTTCATCCCCCTGAGGGGGAGGGATATATGTCAATCATTGTGATCAGTTCCCCCTCTCTGCCCCTACCTTCACCCTACCCTCCTGGTATCATTACTCTCATTATTGTTCCTGAGGGGTTTATCTGTCTTGGATTCCCTGTGTCAAAAGCTCTTATCTGTACCAGTGTACATGCTCTGTTCTAGCTGGATTTTTAAGGTAGGATTGGGGTCATGATAGTGGTGGTGAGTGAGGGGACGGGGAGGAAGCATTAAAGAACTAGAGGAAAATTCTGTGTTTTGTCGATGCTATACTGCACCTGACTGGCTCCTCTCTTCCTTGTGACCCCTCTGTAAGGCGATGTCCAATAGTCTGCAGATGGGCTTTGGGTCTCCACTCCGTGTCCCCCCTCACTCACATCGATATGATTTTTTGTCCTGGGTCTCTGATGCCTGATATCAGGTGTGTACATTTCAAAGGCGAGGAAAAGGAGACATGAGGAGGTGGGAGTGGCTGAGTCGATGGAAGGTTTGAACACTGGTGTCTCCACTTCAGCCCAGGATCTTCACCGCTCTGACCTTCGCCCAGCTCCCGGGCCAGACTGGTTTTGGGAGGGGATCACCACCAGGCCTTCTCTCAGTCCATCTCTGTCTGGAAGCTTCAGCATCACAGCAACACGCAAGCCCCCACTGACTTAAGTGTGGCGGCTGCTCATGAGCCCCATCATATAGGAAGGCAAACCCTGGTCTCTCCTCATGGAAGGCAAGAATGCCATCACAGAACCACCAGTGCCCTCAGTAAAGTGAGTGATGCCGCCTCTTTTCTTTCTAAAAACCACTTGGGTCTCTCTGGGAAATGGCATGTGCTCAGAGGACCCTAACCTCTGACTGCAGTTGGAGGATTAAGGCACTGGCCACTTGAATTATTAGCGGTCCATCACAGACACTCTGTTCTCAGTGACCACAATGGATTGGTACCCAAATGAAGCAGCGCCAACCAGGGGCTTGTCAGGGTTTCTTTACCCGTGATCCAGGGAGTCATGGGCAGTTGGAGAGTGTAAGATGCCCTGTCTGCCACCACTTAAGGGTACCACCCAGCACAGGAGATTCAGAGTCAAGGAAGCCCTGGCTTTTGGTTGTTCCTAAACCCAGCAACATCCCTGTCCTCCCTCCCTTGGATCCCTCAGCCACTCAATCCCCTTTCCTCCCTTGGCCAGAGTTGAGTTTCTGCGACGTGCAGCCCCAACAGGCTCACAAGCCACATCAGAGCAGAGATAAGTCCTGGGCATGATACCAGTGTATGTGTCTGACTAAAGAACTCCAGGGCACCATTTCCTCCTGGTGTCCTTAGCTACCGGCATACTCATGAGTCTTTCCCTACAAAACCCACCTTGCACTCTGCTTATCCAATGACCACTGCCCCCAACCCCGTGGGACTCCAATCATCACAACAACAGAGAGAAAATGCAATTACAAGACAATTTTTACCTTTTGACGATCCAAAGAAGGCTCAGGGCCAGGTAAGCAATTGTGCTTACCAAATAAGCCAGAGGAAGGTCATAGGTGAAGTTCTGAAATTTCACCCCATCAATGGTGTAATGTCCATAAAAGAGGGAGGTATCCTCCAAGAAACCCTGAAACAAAGTCAAGGACATAAGGTCAGACCAGTGTGCTAACTGCAGGAGAGCAGTGTCCAACTTCAAAGAACTCATATCCCAGTGTCTTGTGCATGGTGTTTTCCCAGGGACGGTACAGCCTGTGATCAGTCAGTGTTGGGCGATACAGCACTGATGGAGCCTGAGCAGTAGTAGTATACTGATCTTGAGATTTAAAAGAAATTCTATTTACAATGAGATGCTTATGGATAAATGTATCAAAAGTGTGAAACTTGTACTCTTAAAAAATGACAAAACATCGTTGACAAGAAGTTAAAGAAGGTTTAAACCAGTAGGAAGGCATCCCATGTTCATGGACCAGAAGACTGTAACTGTTAAAATGGCCCCACCCCCACCCACTGCCATGGAGTGGATTCCAACCCATACAGAGCATCCCCATAAGACACTGCTCCTCAGACACGGGGTTTCTGAGGCTGAAAACCTTCATGGAAGTACACTGCCTCATCTTTCTCCTACAGAGGGGCTG